GGCGGAACTTGGAACTTGAAACCTAAACAAGTTTTTTTGTGTTTTTTTTTTGGTCTATAATTTCGCGTGATCCTATGGTGATTCATGGCGTTAGATGATGAGTGTATAATCTAGAATAATTAGTCTGACCTTTTATTTTATGACTTATTAATGTTTCATATTCTTCGCGTGTCGAAATATAAGTTATGGTCAGTGGATCATAGCAGTAAGTAGCAGTTATTAAAGGTAATGATTCACTGCAATTGTTCAATTAATAATACAGGTGGTACCTGGGTAGACCATGAAACACCTTGGAACCTGTGATAGGATAGGTTCTAGGTTCCAAAAAATGAGGAACCTATTCTCATGGATAGTGTCACGCCCCGGACCCCACCGAGCCCGCGATATCCCTCCGTGGTCGTATTGAAAATGCGACGTCCCAGGACTCGTCGCTGACTCACGCGAACATCAAAACATAAAGCGCAAGCGGAAACGATTAAAAGCACCCAGACAAGATTAAAGACCAATGGTAGTAGAACACTTGAACAAATGAACCACATACTTCATTCAACAGCACGCACTTACAAAATCCAACCTTACATACAAAGGCCACTAGGGTTAAAACCACCATCATCAAAAAGGGGCAAGTGATCGGGTAGGTTAGACTAGCTATACAAAAAGGGTCCACCAACTCCATGGGCTCCTTTTCGGGATCTTGCTCCAACGGCTCTTCCTCGGGATCCCAAAACGCTGTGACGGGCCTTTCATGGTCGGAGTCGGGGGTCTGAAATGATTATATAATAACCATGAGAACGAGTCTCAATAAGCAACACCCTAAACTCTACCTAGGCCAATGCGTACCCGGACAAGTTTTACATGCAATCTAACAAGTAACGTACAAAATTCGCATCCACGCACTTACCTCGCCTCAATCCACACGTCACCTCTACACGTTAGTTAATTCACAATAATGCAATAATAACTCACGATCATAACACAACCACTCGAGCGCCACATACACGCACATTCATCCAATTCAACCAAGCACAATTCGCATGCGTGTCTATCCAACTTTCTCATGATCCGCGTAAACACGCCTCAAGTCAGCCCTCCGATCAATCCGGGCTCCGTCCCGCGTAACCACGCCTTAGGACATTTCTTTTTTTCCCATGACCCGCGTAAACACGCCTCGGGTCTAATTTTCCTTTCACGGACCACCGTCAACACGTCTCAAGTCCGTTCTCACAGGCACACAAGCCACACAATTCAATCAATTTCCAATGACTGCCGTCAACACGTCCCAGGTCTAACTTTCCTTTCACGGACCACCGTCAACACGTCTCAAGTCCGTTAACTTTCATTCTACGGACCACCGTCAACATGTCTCAAGTCCGTTCTTACATCCAATCTACCACAATTTCCACAGAATGTACCATACTAAATCGAGCGCACAAAGGCCTCGATAGGCCATCGAACCTAGCCCCCAACATAGCACGTCCAACGCAATTTAGGCATAAAATTACACATGGGGAAAAATCACAAGTCAAACCGCCACTCAAACACACTCGCTTCAACAACGAACAACCAATGCAAATTGCTACTAATCGAACATTAATTCACACACGAACTATCACACATTTAAGCCCCACTTCGAGCACCAATCGGTCCCACAAATCATCACACAAAACGGCCCTTGAACCGCCACAATTTAGCCCACGTTTGCACCACAAATCAGCCACCACACTCAGCCATAAACAGCCACATTCGGCCACAAAGAACAAGGGAAAAACCGAATACACAGATTCGGAGTAATTCTGGGCCAGCGCACGGTTCGGAATCCCTTTTAAAATAAATAGTAATTCAACTCCAAAAATTCTAAATTTTGGATATGTTGCATAAAACATCTTGATAAACATTTTCGATGAAGAACTCAAAACCCAGTTCCAACTGTAAACACCTCTTTTTGTCACTTGAAGTCAGACGAAAATCAACCCGTCCGGTCAGGCCGCCTGACCATAAAAATGCATCTCATCCAGTACTCAAATCACTTTGGAAAGCCTTAAAATTTTTATATGTCATATAAACGAATGTTATTAACAATTTTTGTGAAGAAAGTTTGTTGAAAAGAGGTCTGCAAAAATTTATAGAAAATCGGAAAGCTCAGAAGGTCGGGTGAACAGTAAATCCGGCAGACTGAATTTGGTCCAAAAATGAACTTACGAATGGAATTAAATGATCTCCAAAAATTATAAAATTAAATTATGTAATATTTCAAGATGTTATGAACAACTTTCATGAAGAACACTTCCTCAAATTCGGCCCACAAAAGTCACAGTAAAAATAGTAAAATCCAGCGACGCAGCAGCAACCTTACCGGAAATCAACCAACAAGCAGCACCAAGCAAACCAAGTACAACCAGCCACTAAACCAACTATCCACAGCCCTAATCCACCCCTAAACATGTCCATTAGTAACCCATTATCCTAACTAAGGCTTAGGGAGTACTTACTCTTAGCCTAAGCAAGAAAAACCGAGCGAAAGGGCAGCAGCAACCTCGCCGGTGCAGCAGCGACGGACGGCGGTGAGCGGTCGCCGGACGGCTGAGGCGGTTGACTGGTGGAGGCGGACAAAGCTGCTGGTCGGGCGTGCAGCAAGAAGAAGCGACAAGCAGAACAAGAAGCAGAAGTAACGTGGGGCAGCTCGGCGGGGAAAAGAGGAGGAGGAGAGAGAGAGAGGAGAGAGAAGGTCAAACACTTATCCAATCTTTTTGACTCATCCTAGGGCCCTCATTTGATCTTGGTGAGCAAGCCAAGATCCTAGGGTCACGAAAATTCCAGATTTCCAATTAAAGAAAAGGCTAAAAAGACACTAAATAAAATAAATCTAGAGGGAGGTATACTGATTAAAATCCGCACCCGGTCCAAATTTAACTTTTCGATAATTCCGGGCAATATCGACGCTGGCCACAATAATATCGACACTGTCCAATTAAATTCATCACGAAACTCCGAGAAATTTGACACCAAAGTTTGGGCTCTAAATAACGGTTAAATTCGATCGAGTGCGATTCTAGTGAAATCTCTAATTTAAAAATAACCCAAGAGTGATCAGTTCCGGGCGAGATTTTATTATAAGCGCACTGACGAAATACACGTTTTATAAATCCCAAAAATGGGCCGAAATTCAGAATGTCACAGATAGGTTCTAGGTGGAACCTGTACGGAACATGGAACCGTTCACCTCTAGTATCGATTCATGCAACGACTTCTCATTTTAATTGTATTTATTTAAACCATAATGCCAAGAAAACTAGTCTTTTGTATTCTCTTTGATAAATGATAAGCTTTTTTAGTATTATTACGTTCATTTTCATTTTGTTTAACTAAAAATGAAATAAATAAAAAAAGAACCCGTTAGACCTTGGAATCTATCATGGAACCTGTGATAAGATAGGTTCTGGGTTCCGGGTTCTGCGACAAGGTTTCGGGTTTCAAAAAATGAGGAACCTGTACTCGAGGGTAGGTTCCAGGTTACAGGGGGAACCTGTAAGGAACTTAAAACCGCTCACCCCTAGGGGCCTTGGTGATGGCCGGCTAGGGTATCGTGGCCCTCGTTGTGGCACCCCGATGACTTCCATTGGTTGTTTTCGAAAAGATGAACATATACGAAAAGGAAAAAGATAAACTAAAAAAAAGAAAAGAATTAGATAATTTATAAAATTTATCAAAATGATGTCGTTTTGGGTGGAATTAGATCGTCGGTCGTGGCACATAAAATTGCTGGCGATGACCGGATGTGATGTTGCGATTTTTAGCCAAAGTTGGCCAGAATGATTATATTAAAAAATTATCAATATGTTTAGGATTACATTAGCTAAATTGGAAAATTTATGATTGCATTGGCAGTCATACAACATGTTTAAGATTTCTTGGGTAAACTTCGGTTCCTAAGTTGAAAATAACCAAAGCGCAACCCTCGACGCACATCCTGGTGATTTCTTTTTATGCTTTTGTTGTACTTTTTTCCATAATATACCGATAACTTACTCTTTTCTACCTCTGTGCCATTTTTTCTTGTTGATGTATGTTTTTTGGTTGAATTATTCTCTTTTTGATTGATAATTCATTCGTTTTCAAGTATAGCCAGGATAACCTGTAGTTGATTACAGTAACCCAGCTATACATAGACACATAAAAGAGACATTCGAATTGTATAATTCACATTAGGCTCATTCTAATTTAATTTGTTTTTTTTTTCAATTAGTCCACGTTTCTCCAAGCTGACAACAAGAGAAAGCATTATACTTCACCATGAAAAATGGGTTGTAATCTATGTATGATTTATGAACTATCAATTCCACTCTTTTGGATGATGCTATACTTCTTTTACACAAATAGGGATCTATACTTCCCCCGAGAAAATATTTTGCAAACACCAGTCAATAGAAAAAAAAAAAACAAAATCACACACAACCACTCATCTTGTTTTTTTTTTTTTAGATAAGTGCATTGAAAGTCTTAAAACTTATCACTGGAGTGCAATTAAGTCCTAAAACTTTTAAAAAGTGCAATTAAGTTCTAAAACTTATACGAAAGTGCAATTGAGTCCTAAAACTTTCAATAAGTGTAATCAAGTTTTAAAACTTGTCAAATTGATCTAATCAAGTTCTTCCATTGATTTCACTTTTTAAAAGTTTTAGGACTCGATTGCACTTTCGTGATAAGTTTTATGACTTAATTGCACTTTTTAAAAATTTTATGACTTTATTACACTTTTGTGACAACTTCTTAGACTCAATTGTACTTTCGTGATAAGTTTTAGGACTTAATTATACTTTCGTGACAAGTTTTAGGACTTCTAGTATGCTCATCCCTTTTTTTTTAGGGGAAAAAGCACCTTTTGATATGTTTGTGCCAACTCCAAATATATTTACTACAAAGTACAAACACCAACTTATTTATTTGAATACTCATTTTGTATACTTTTGTATCTTTGCTATAAAAAAGTATTTAGATGCTAATGGGACAAAGACTGGTTTCAATGACCTTGTTATCTAAGTTACACAATAACGAAACAAATTCCCCAATTGTGCTGGAGGTGATCTTAAAAACCCAGCACCAACTCTTCGAAACAGAGACAGATTCTAAAGATAAGACATTGTTTCCTTCAGTGTTGGACTCAAACGCACGTTAACCAAACCAGAGGGAAGTGCTGGCAACTCATGAAGCATGTCGCAGTGAAGTAGATCAAGAGTCTCCAGCTTGGAAAGATGCTTGATTTCATAGGGTAGGCTCCAAATACCAGAATATTGCAGCCTCAAGATTCTCAGATGAACTAGCTTCCCAATGTCCCTAGGAATCTCCCCTTTTAAACTCCTACACGAGGAGGCATGTATTTCTTCAAGGCTATGTAGCCGCCCAATAAAGCTAGGAAATTCTATTATGAAGCAATAGTCCATCTTTAACACTCTCAACCTCCGCAAATTTCCAAAGGAATCTGGTATTTTTGCAACGCCTGTTCCCGACATATCAAGCTCCTCTAAAGAGCTTAATTGACCAATGGAGTCTGGAAGTTCTCGTATCCAACGACAATTCCTCAATGACAAACGTCGGAGTTTCACTAGCTCTCCCACTCCACCAGGGAGTTTGGTAATCTTTGAATTATCTACTGAGAGTATTGTAAGTGATGTCAGGTGTTCAAATGAATGGGGCAAGAGACTCAATGACAAGCAATTGGAGGCACAAAGAGTTTCAAGTTTCTTTAAATCACCTTCCAAGGGAATCTCTTGCACAGAAGTTTCATCAATGAGGAGTTCTTTCAAAGCTTCCAAGCCACCCAGTTCGGCAGGCAACATGTTGAGTTCAGAGCAGGACTTCAAATTCAGGCAAAGTAGATTTTTGAGACCACCAACTGAAGGATCTAGATGGACCAACCGAGAGCATCTCTCTAGAATTAGTATCTCCAATTTTGGGAAGCTAGAAAATGTAGGACTTATCAGTAAGTCAGTGCAACCGGTGAGATTTAAGACTTTCAATTGCTCCATCTATAAAACAGAAGAGAAAACATCATAAGGTCAATTGCCAGATAATTAACAGAATAAATGCATTAGAGTAGTAATAGGAAACCACCTTGATTTTCATCCAACCTCCCCAGTCTTCGGTCACTTTGCTCCATGAAAGATCAAGAATGACCAGTTCAGTCAGATTAAATTCTGTTGCTTTGAAATCGCTTGGGCACCCTTGCCAACGAAGCCACCTCAACTTTGGAAATACATTTGTGAAATTTCCAGTCATACTTGCATGATCGAATTTCAAGAACCTTACGTTTGGCATGCTCTTGAAATTTGTTTCTGTAAATGTATGGGGACGGCAGTTTTTGAAGTCAAAACATAGGACTTCCACCTCTTCCATTCCCTACATTTGCCAAGAGTAACAAATAATCTGAAGCTATAAAATTTGATTTGACAATTTGGCTATGTGATAAGGACTAGGATGCTTTCTTTTCCGTGCATGCAAAGAAAACCTTTAGATGGTAAAATAAGTAAAGCTGGATAGCATATTAGACCTTCTATGTCAAAGCTTTCATTTTACGGTGGAAAGTAAACCATTGAACCATAAGCCTTTACCTCTTTGCTGTTGATTACTTTCAGGTCTGTTTCATGCAAAAAGAGTCTACTGCGCCTTCTAGGATATCCTTCTTTATCTATAGATCCACTGAGGTGCTTCAACAGCTTATGCATCCACAGCAAGTTGCCTGCTCCAATTTTTACTAGGGGCATCAAAACATGGTGAGAAGGTAAAGGATCTTGATCGGGCCACATATATGATGCAATTCGGCTATCCACGCCATTGGCAAACCATGCTATGTCCCAAAATATTTGTTTCTGCTTTTCATCTAATGCTTCATAACAGATTTTCGAAATCTCCCTACAATCCTTCAAAATCTCTCGAGAGTTCTCCTTCCGTGGTTTTATGAAGTCCTCTATCTTCCTCCAATCTTCTATTGTTTTTCCACGCAGAAATGAACCAATAACTTCAATAGTAAATGGAACCCGCCCCGTAGCTTTGATAATGCGCTTCCCAATTTCAGGATAGCCAGGTATTAAACCGTGTGTTCCTAAAGCATGCTTGCAAAAAAGTTCAAGAGCTCGATCATTATCCATCTCATTCACTTCATATGTACGGACCAGGCCTCGAGAATCATATGTTTGGAGAATTCCACCATTTTCTGAAGTGACAATTATCCAACTTCCAGAACCAAACCAGTCAAGCTGGTCTCCTACAAGATCATGAAGATGAGACTGTTCTTCCACATCATCTAGGACAATCAGAACTTTTATATTGCGAAATACATCCAGGAAAAACCTGATTCCTCCTTCGAAAGAAGCAACGTCACCATCTCGCCCAAGAATATCACATATCAACTTAGTTTGCACAAACTGAATACCACCAGCATTTTGTATTGTTTCTCCAATCTCTGCTAGAAAGCTACAACCATCGAAACAAGAGGAGAGTTGGTCATATACGGCCTTCGCAATAGTGGTCTTGCCAATTCCATTAGTTCCATGGATTCCAACAATGCGCACTCCAACCTCATCATCATCTATTTCCAATAACTTGAGTACATCCTTCACTCGATCATCCATACCAATTACATGTTCAATAGTGGCAACTGAGGTTTGCAACGACTCCAAAGGAAAACTAGGAAGTTTCAACTCCTTGATATGTAGAAGGGGCGGAATCCATTCCATCTTAGGACACTCCCATATCCTTAGTGCAGAGAGATTAGGAAGTGACGAGAGGGCATGAAGATCACTTTCTGTGTATTCCACTAGAGGTAGCTCACCAATTTCCAAACGCTTGAGGCTCGTAAGCTCACCAAGTGGTGGGAGACTTTTGCATCCTGCACAATGAAACAACCGTAGCTCAACTAACTTAGGCATGTGAGACATCCAGCTTGGAAACCTTGCGCCCCCATAGCCTCTTATTTCTAAGCTTCGAAGATTTAAGCTTGGCTGCAGCTCTTTGAGTAGAACTTCATCACTTCCTTTCCCGGCAAACACTAATACTAGTGAAACTAAGGAATCCTTTTCCTTCAAGTTTGCAGCATTTGATTCTGCTACTGCATCTTCTATTTCTCCCTTAACTTCGATTTTCAGACATCCTCTCAAATGGCTTAACCTGTTCAACTCCCCCAGCCCACCATAATTCTTTGGACAATAATCATCCCCAGGCAAAAGGAAATCTGTTAAAGTGCGCAAAAGAGTCAACTGGCCTAACCCATGTGGCATATGAGATAGGGCATTACAGTTGCTAATCTCCAGTTGCCTGAGGTTGACCAATTTTCTCATATCCCTTGGCAATTCTATTAGCTTGTAACACATATTGAGTTTAAGTACTTGCAAGGTTTGCAGTCTTGTCACAGAATCAGGAAGCCTTATGATTCCTTCATTTTTAGAGAGATCTAGAAATGTCAAGTGCTTCAACTCACAAATGGAACTTGGTAACTTCTCAATACCACTATCATGGCAATTCAAGGTGCGCAAGAACTTGAATATAGAAATAAGTTCGCAAAGAGTTTTTTCACCTAATTGAGTTTCACACCTTGAGCTTTTTGTTTGATCTATTTTGAAGAACGTCCTCAGATGTTTTGCTCTGAGTAGAGTAGTGGGAAGTCCCCGTGATAAATCTAAAGTTGAATCCCAGCATACATGACGAGTTCTTTCACCAATTGGTGACCGGAGCTGAAAAAAGTGTTGAGAATACTCAGTTTGAGCAACTGTGCATGCTAGCTCATTCATTAAATCATGCATCTTACAAGAGGTCACATTTCCAAGTTCATCTTTAGTACAGTCCTGAAAGAAATTCCTCCTAAGTAAAGCCATGAAATAGTCGTGAGCAATATCTTCCCTATCCCGATCTACGTTGTCTATGGGCTGGATAAATCCTTCAGCTATCCAGAGACTCGTCAACATTAGTTTATCAATCACCCAATCTTTGGGAAACAATGAACAGAAGTCAAAGCACTGTTTTAGATGGCATGGGAGATGCTGATAACTAATTATAACATGTGTGATTACCCCATAATAATCCGATTCCGCAGAATAATTTGGGATCTCCCGCTCAAAACGTAACCACTCAGCTTCAGTTTTCTTGAAGAATAGTATACTTCCGGATGTTCGTAGAGCCAAAGGGATTCCACGACATTTGTTGACTATCTGCCTCCCGATAATTAGCTTTTTTGAACCTATAGTCTCTTCTTCTTCCTTACATGCCATTCTCATCAATAAATCTAAAGATGAGCTTTCAGAAAGGCCCTCAAGGAAATAAGATGAGGCTGTGCCCATGAAATGCGCAACTAACCGATCGCATGTAGTTATCAGAATCTTGCTTCCTTCGGCACCTCCCATAAATAAACTTTTCAAGCTTCCCCATTGTGCAGGAAACTCGAACCACCTTACATCGTCCATAACTAGGAGACATTTCTTCCTACGAATGTGTTCCACTAGTTGATTTTGCAAACTCTCCGACTCAATGTCATCTGCTCTCTCTGTTGTTGCACTTTCTATGATTTTTTGCAGTACCATTTTGAAATTAGACATGGCGTCACCCACACAGATCCATATCCTTAAATCAAAATGCTGGTTGACCATGTCATCTTTGTATAGACATCGAGCAAGAGCAGTCTTTCCAATCCCATCCGGACCACATATTGAAAGGACGGAAATTTTCTTTTCAGCGTCAGAGTCCAACAAGAACTTCTTAATTGCGCTTTTAGCATGATCTCTCCCTATAATCTCCTCCTCGTATGCAAAGGAGTCCGACTGCTCTCTCTTCCTTGATCCTCTCTCTACTTGCACATCCTTCGCGTACTCTCGCAACTCAGAATATAAAGCGCCTTTAGCAGCGCTTGCCCTTTTAGCACCATCTCTCCCTATGATCTCCTCCTCGGACACAGAGGTGTCTGACCGCTGTCGGTTCCTCGATCTTCTCTCTACTTGCACATCTTTCGCGTACCCTCGCAACTGAAAAGACTTCCCTCTAGCAGCGATGGCTTCTATTCTCTTCCTATTGCTCTTCAGCTCTAGAGCAAGTTCGTTTGAAGGTGAAAAGAGGGTATTTACCTGCTTCAACTTCTCATCTTTGCTCCGCAATTCTCGTTGCATAACTTCAACGTTCCATTCTTCCAGCAAGTCCTCTGCATCATACAAAGCAGCTTTGAGATCGTCAAGCCATGCTCTGAGGTTCTGCTTTTCCGCATCGTGCACTACATCTTGGAGAGTGGAAACGGTTTGCTTGAGCATCTGAAATTCGTGACCATCCCATATTTTCCCGTCCTCTGCGAAATCTTCCAGAATTTTAGCTATCTTCGAGACGACCGCCTCCGCCATAGCTCTTCCGGGGTGAAGGGATCCTGCTCTGCTTTTTCTTTCAAGAGTTTATGGAGGATATATAAATGGAAGTGCAACAACAGAGAGATGGCATTTGCCGTTCCTAATTCAATGATACATCATGTGATTGGCCTAATTTACAAGGTGCTTTTGTCATTTAAGGCAGTTTGATAGATTGAGACTATGGTGGGTGGAGAATTTTTATATTTTTAAGGTGTTGAAATAGCCATAGCCTCTAATAATCACAAAAAGATAAATGAGCTCGTCAAAAAATGCATTTAAGATAGTAAACTCCCAGTCCAACAAACTTTGTTTATAGGACTCCCGGGGCGATCATGAACTTGCAATTTATAGTGATTGCACCACCAATGTTTGATTAGATCAGTTGGATCATGTTTTCTCTTAGCATACGAAAGAAGATATTGATGATCCAATAGATATAATGTGCAAGGGGCATGAATATCATGGTCCTTCGATTCGATTAGCATGTAAGGTCAACAGAGTTGGTCATCAAACTATTATACATTTATCTAATAATTGAGATTTATTTATGTTTTCTGAATGATCTGTCATATTAGTTGGTGAGATCTGTATTTAGGTCCCACTCAAATTTTTGCTTGCTTCTTGTAGACTTAGCAATCAAGTTGGGTCAGTTTGTGTTTTCTGCTCAATACGGGTTTGTGTCGAGATCTTTCGTTAAATGGGTCCAAAGTAGATCAACCCATACTCGTGCTATTCAAACCGGGTTGTCCTTTTTTTTAACCCATTTTTTCCTCAACAAGTGGGTCATTTATAGCAAATATTTCAATTAAATATTCTTAATAAAACTAATTAATAGAAAGTTTGTACGTTGATTGCGACAATATAGTATTTCTGTATAGTGACAATAATCATGAAATCTAATAACGGGAATGAAATATTACTTGAAAACAATATTTACCATTTTGTAGATAATTGACTATTATGGATTCATTTTTCTTATGTATAAATTCATTTGACACTCATCTTATGTCATTTCTTACAAATGTAAAGTTTCTCAATAGACTATTTCTATTAAATTCGACTCCAATTGCTTGATCATTTTCTTAAGTAATCATTGTCCTTTAAGTAATATTACTCTAATATTATATTGCCACATGTTGTATTAGACCGAGTCGGGGTAATTTTATTCTCTATAATGTATTATATTACAAGTGACAAAGTCAATTTTTCTCTTCGTATTATGTATGAATACATCAAAATGCGTTTCTGTTAATCTGTTTTGTTTATTGTGTTGAAACATAGGAATACCAGAAAATAATTTTTGTACGACTAGTGTCCACCCTAAATGAACTAGTTTAATGGGAAATTAGAATCACATGACGTGACGGCATCTTCCTCACTAGTTTAATACTCTTCCAACTTGAAAGTAATCTTATACAAATTTTGTGGACAATACTTGTAAGAACTAGTTTAATATTCACCTCCTGGACCGACGAAAGCTGAGCGAACACCGCACTCGCGTCCTTTCAGGTAGCCTGTGCCGAAATTACATTGATTGTCCGATTTCCATGTACGGTTGCGAAAAATGCCTACTTAATCTTCATAAATGTTGGCCGCTAAAACAACACCCAAAATCTCAATAGTTAGAATCTTAAACACATATAATTGAGTAAAAGGAATTTGCACACCTAATTTGGAATCCATCGTTTTTTATGCGGCATAGCGACGATCCTCAACGCAAGTTCTTCTCCTCTATTATCCTATGTATCACTAGCTCAATGAGATTGCCTCTCACATATAGTGTTTGATTCTTATGTGAGATAATTTATGCGTTAGGGTTAAAGGAGGGACTTGAGCACTATTTATAGAGTTTTAAACCAGGCCCTCATCACGGGTCAGGCCTTACTTGGCCCACACTAGCCAATCCCATATTAGACTAATTAAAAATATTTATATCTTTCTTTATTAGACCAAGCCCGTAAAACGGCTAATTACAATCTCAATTAATTTAGCCCACATCAGAAAAACTTTTATAATAAAATTTGTGCTGAACTGCCTTGTCGGTCCGACACCCATGTCATGCGGATCACCCCTCAACCTTGAGTGGGTGAATAAGGTGATTATGTTCGACCAAAAAAACAAGGTGATTATGAGCCTACACCAGTAATTTTCCAATGCAATTCGTGCGACTTCGATTTGGATGCCTACATCGCCATGGCGACTTTGCGGGTTGAGTTATACTATGGTCCAAACTTGAGTTGGCTATCATTTTGAAGATAAATTGAAAAAAGAAATATCTATTTCACTGGAAAGGTCAACAAAATTCCTTTGGAAATACGGATCGATCAGATACGAACCGACAAAGGTCAGAAAATTCCCTTTGTTGATTCTTGGACGGGAAATTGAAATGAAAAGAAAATTAAAGGTACTGAGACTAGAAACAATCATTGCCAACCATATAAAAGTGCATGATTGTCAAGATAGCTGGAAGTTAAATGGAATAACTGACGTTCTTTGATCGATTGACGGTTCGTCTACAAACTACAATTCAAGTATTTATAACTACTTTCAATAATAACAACGGTTACAAAGAAATCAAAAGCATTCTACGTGGCTCCTATTAGGGATGCACAATGGTCCAGGGTCTATTGGGTAGGTTTCAATTCCAAAAACTAGGAACCGGTCCTAATAGGGTAAGTTTTAGGTTCTAGGTTTGGAACCTACCCACTTTGGAACCACTCACCCTACTTGGTGAATGCTGGTCTTAACAAGGTAAGTTCCAACTGTTAGGAACGTGAATCTTTGAAGAGAAAAAAAGTAAGAAGAAGACGTGAATTTTTACGTGGAAAACCCTCTCAAAATCAAAAAGGAAAAATCACGGTGCCCCACTCGGTAATCTCTTCACTATCAATATCAGAGTTACAAGCTTCGGGGTTACAACTACAAAAGATATTCTTCCAATATATAGCGAGAGTTTGACGAATACATAGTTATGCAGGAAACTAGGGAGAAGAACACTAGAAGTGCCAAAACTTGCGTACGGCGCTCACTTTAGTGCCAAAAGTTTGTTTCGGATCACTTAAGTGCCAAAATTGGAGAAAAACGATCACATAAGTGCCAACGGCGAGAAATTCCGGCCAAATTAATACGTGGCTTTTTTAATTAAAATTTTAATCTACGTGACATTTTCACGTGTATATTTCGAATTTTTTAGTCATACGTGGCATTTCCACGTGTAAATTTCGAATTTTTAATTATTTTTTTGATTTTTTTTTTCTGTTTTTTCCTTCTTTTCTTTTTTTTCTTCTTCTTCTTCATTTGGCCGGTGACCGGACATCGGCCACCGGCCATGGCCGGCCGCCTAACCTCGCCCGGACGAGGCCGCCGTCGCCTGCCACGGGCGAGGCCTGGCCGACCTTCGTCTGGGCGAGGGAGGGCGAGCCCCGGCGAGGGTCGGCCTCGCCTCGCCCGGGCAAGGGCGAGCCCCGGGAGGTGAGGCCGGCCTCGCCTAGGCCACGGCGGCCTCGTCGAAGGTCGCCCGGGAGGCGACCTCCGGCGAGGCCGCCGTGGCCCGGGCGAGGCCGGCCTCGCCTCGCCGGGACTCGCCTCGCCCGGGCAAGGGCGAGCCCGGCGAGGCGAGGCCGGCCCTCGCCCAGATCCGGCGGGGCCGGCCCTCGCCAGGCCACGGCGGCCTTACGGGGTCGCCTTCCCCGGCGACCCCGGCGAGGTCGCCATGGCTTGGGCGGGCCGGCCTCGCCTCGCCCGGGCAAGGGCGAGCCCCGGCGAGGCGAGGCCGGCCTCGCCAGATCCAGCGGGCCGGGAAGGCGAGCCCCGTTGAGGCCGTTGTGGCCCGGGCGAGGCCACCTCGCCTCGCCGGATCCGGCGAGGGCCGGCCTCGCCTTGCCGGCCTCGCTCGCCCGGGCAAGGGCGAGCTCCGGCGAGGCGAGGCCGCCCTCGCCAGATCCCGCGGGGCCGGCCCTCGCCTAGTCCACGGCGGCCTCGCCGGGGTCGCCTTCCCGGGCGACCCCGGCGAGGCCGCCGTGGCCGGGCGAGGGCCGGCCTCGCCTCGCCGGATCCGCGAGGGCTTGCCTCGCCTCGCCGGGCCGGCCCTTGCCCGGGCGAGGCGAGGTCGGCCTCACCAGATCTGGCGGGCCGGCCCTCGTCCAGCCATGGTGGCCTCGCTCGCCGGATCTGGCGAGGCGAGGGCCGGCTCTCCTCGCCCGTGGCGGGCGACGGCGGCCTCGTCCGGGCGAGGCCGGGCGGCCTGTGGCCGGTGGCTGGTGTCTGGTCACCGGTCAAACGAAAAAGAAGAAGAAAGAAAAGAAAAAAAAAAGGAAAAAAACAAAAAAAAAAGAAAAAACTTTAAAAATATTATTAAATATTGTCCTCGTCAGCGTCGACGTGCCACGTAGGACTGAGAAATTAATAAAATATGGCCACGTCAGATTTCCGGCGACCCAAATCGGAGTTGGCACTTAAGTGATCGTTTTTTCAAAAAAGTGGCACTTAAGTGATCCGAAACAAACTTTTGGCACTAAAGTGATCACCGTACATAAGTTTTGGCACTTCTAGTGTTCTTCACCCCAGGAAACTACATATATGCAATTAGCAGTATAAGTTTTGAACTTTAATATTATTTTTGTCTATCACACTCCACAAATCCATCAATCTCCCACTTGAAGGTTGATTTTCAAAACAACAATAGTGCAACGGCCCCCTCATTACTAACCATGGAGGCCAACTGAAGTAATGTACAGCCTCAGTTTCTCAGTGGTGACAACCTTTGTTAACATATCTGCTAGATTTTTTGAACCTAGAAACTTCTTCGATGACAATGTCCCATCATCTATCAGCTAACAAAAATGATGATACTTCAACTCAATGTGCTTTGTTCTTGGATGAAAAGCTAGATTCTTTGCAAAACAAATATCACTTCAATTATCACCGAAAAGAACACTGCTATCTTGCTCCTTGCTTATTTCCTTCAGAAATTTTTTTAACGACATCATCTCCTTGCTAGCTTGAGATATAGCGACATACTCTGCTTCAGTGGTTGAGAGAG